ATACAGTCGTTATAAAGTCGTTATAAAGTCGTTATACAGTCGTCATACAGTCGTCATAAAGTCGTCATACAGTCGTCATAAAGTCGTCATATAGTCGTTATACAGTCGTTATAAAGTCGTTATATAGTCGTCATACAGTCGTTATACAGTCGTTATAAAGTCGTTATATAGTCGTTATACAGTCGTTATACAGTCGTTATACAGTCGTTATACAGTCGTTATACAGTCGTTATACAGTCGTTATAAAGTCGTTATATAGTCGTTATACAGTCGTTATATAGTTGAGGATAACGTAGTGAAACTGTGAATTACCATGTTTCCAAACTGCTCGCAAACACAGATCAGAATTTCTGTCCTTGTGTGTTTGCACAAAGAATCTTTTCTTTTAAAAAATCATTTCTAAAGAACAATGGTTCCTCTGGACTTACAACAAACGTGTCATATGAGAACTTGTGTCTGTGGAGAAGATGCTGAAGAAAGTTGGAGCTCTTGTAGCTGGGGTCTCCCCACGGCATGGCTGAGCACACTGGACACACCTGGAGGGACGAGCACACAGCCATTAAAGGACACACACATCACAGGTGCAGCAGGCAGGAAGCTGTGGATATAAAACAACTAGATGAGTGTGTGTGGGCTTTCTCATAGAAACCTGTGCAAACTGGCATCTCTATATAAGGCTTCTCTGGTCTGACCGAGCTTCCAGCTTTTCTTTGGACTACAGGCCGTGTTTACTGCATCTACTGCACAAACACAGTTAGTTTAGCGCCTCTGCAGACACAGAGAAACCTGCTTGGTGAGAAGCAGCAGTTCTAACTACTGCACCATCACGCTGCCTGCACAGGGCTGAGGTGAGGAGGGAATCCAGCCGAACAAAGGAGATGAGCCACACGACACGTGTTAACAGGAAATTAGTGAGTGTGGTAGTCTGGAAATCTGTGTTCTGTACCGCTTACAGCCATTAACACCTCAGTAACTTCAGGAGGAATTCAGTGGGAGCAGGAACAGAACTGTAACTCCGAGGCAAAATGGGAAAGACTTTTCCAAGATTTCCTAAAGATTCCCGGAGACGTTTGTGCGGCAACTCTGTTCCTGACACCCAGAAATAATCTAGATGGTGCTGATGTTATCCTGATACAAACACAGTTTGACAGTCTGGTGCAGTCGTCACTATCTCACCACTTTGTTTGGGTCATTACGATGGTTTTCCATACAGTGCTTCACCAGTTCCTGCTGGTCCAGGTTTCTGGCCCCACAGAACGGACACACAAATGTTGACCGGTTTGGAATATTGCTGCATATAAAAGGACACACACACACACACAAATTATCACAAGGCTGGGCCGGCGTGTGTGCATTTGTGTCACAGTGAAGCTGAACATGTACAGATGTTTCCAGTCTCACAGGCAGCTACGCTGTTGGAAAATGTGTCCAACAAATTTGAACTTGTATTTGGAAAAAGTCACAAACGTGACATTTACACAAATACACTGAGAGCTGCAAACTCACTCACACTACAGGTCTGTGATCACAGCCTCTCAAATCAGGAAGGCTCAGCTGTGGGTCACACATGTGCACTTTGGCAACACTTCACTGTGTGACCAAACTGCACTTGTGCTGCAGACAGCAGCACTGCTAAATAAAATAGAGGCACTTTGAACTCTAACAGCAGAGCAGTGTGTCCCACTCTGAGACACACCTTCATGGCCACTGAATCACTATCACGTTCCACAGCATTGAGTTAACACAGGAAGTTTGTGTCAACTTCACTTGTGTTATTGGCTGTAAATAAAACAGACGTGACACAACGGTTCAGGTGCATGTTTTACATTTCCAAACAAAAACATGAATGAATTGAACACACACAGTGGGCTCGAGAAGGGAAGTACTGATTAATCTTTTAGCGACAGCAGCAGTGTCTCTGATACTATCGACATTTGGATCGATCCGCACACCTCTGGAGGCTGTTACACACCGAATGTGTTGCAATAAAAACATGAAACCATAAACGTTTCCAGATCCAGACTTGCTGTGTGATGTAGAGAAGTGTAAAGCTGCACTGTGAAGAGAATGAAGTGGACATGAAACGATGATAACGCTGATACAGGACTGAACTGAGAGTCCTTCCAGCTGACACGCGCAGGCAGCAGCAGGGAGGACGTCTCGGCCGAGCAGTGGAAGCTGAATCGTGGCCACGATTCAGGATGTTAGTGGGGCACTGAGAGCTGACTGACCCAGAGCAGCAGCTAGCTGAGTGTCTCAGATAACACAGCATTAGTGCACACTGCTATTTACACTACCAGTGTGCAGTATGACTGTGCTTGCTGCCAAATGCAGGGTCTGATTGGTCACACTGGTTTCTTTGGATCTAAAAAATCCAAAATATCGAGCTTGGTTCTAAGAAGTGCCTCAAATCCATCCAGTGAAATGATGGTGTGAACGGCTGCATTCAGGTGAGGTGATTAAAGTATCATGTATCAGCTGTGCTGCATGAACATGGTTGCAGTGTGGGTACCTTGGTATAGGCTGGGAGGTGGGCACCACAGGAACAAACTTGGGACAGTTGGCCATCTGCTCCTGCACCTTGGAACAGGAAGCAATGTGGGACCTCATCTTTACTAGAGCCACCTGAAAGCACGCACACACCTGAGGTTATGACTGTACATGTATGTAAAGAGTCACAGTGACACTGCATGGAGGGGGGGCGTTTAGTCTGCTCTTCACTTCTATTCATCTTACTCTGATTCTCAGACTGTCGTCCATTTTTATAGTGACTTTCATTTCACCCATTATCACTTTAGACACGTTTATTTCCTTTTTCAGTTTCACAGTTGAATTTGCACAAATGGCCAAAGACTATAAATAAAAAAGAAAAGATTTACATTCACAGTGTGAATTGTGCAACAAATAATATTTTTATAACACTGTGGGGGTCTGTTATCTGCTAGAGCAGTCATTATCTACCTTCTTGTTACAACCCCTGCAGGGTGCTTTATATGAAGCCAGCTGCTTCTCCACACTGGAGGACCGCTCCACCTTCTTGGGGTCGAAGGGCACGCGACAGAGGGGGCAGAGAGGTGAGGTCACCTGGAGACAGGGCTGCAGACACTCCCCACAAAACCTGGAAAAGCAAACAGCAAAGGTAACATCTGTACTCAGGCCAGCAGAGCGCTGCTGGCTCCTCCACTCTCACTCTCGTTTAAATCCATCTTCAAAGGATTTCTTTCACAATTAGGCTGTTTTTAAGTTTCCTGGGTAATTACATAAAAGTCACATGTCTCTTATTCATCAATGCTTTGCAGTCTGACTAAAACAGAAAAAACATACAGAAGTTCCACTTGCAGTTCATTCAAAGCTGTTGTCAAATATTTAGCTGAGCTCAGGTGGCAGTAAAACTCAGAGGAACCCAAAGGAAACCATCCAAATTTGTGGCTCAAGCACTTAATGATCAGATGGGTGTTGCTATTCTTCTTTCTGTTTATTCATTTTCCTTCTTCCTTCCTGTACTTGACCAAGGACTGAACAAGTTAAACAAACCTGCACAGACAGCATGCTAACAGTCAACAAGAGCCCAGCTGAGTGAGTGCAGACCCCAGCACACAGAACTTCAACACATATCTATCAATTTAAATATACTTAAAAAAATCAAGACGTAGTCCTGTGTTTATGAGCTCATGAACAATAGTTTACATAAAGGACGGCTGCTATAAACATCTGATTTAAAGATACAAGATCTTAAATAATCAGGCCCCATCTTATCTTAATGACCTTGTAGTACCATATCACCCTATTAGAGCACTTCGCTCTCGCTCTGCAGGCCTACTTGTTGTTCCTAGAGTATTTAAAAGTAGAATGGGAGGCAGAGCCTTCAGTTTTCAGGCCCCTCTTCTGTGGAACCAGCTTCCAGTTTGGATTCAGGAGACAGACACTATCTCTACTTTCAAGATTAGGCTTCAAACTTTCCTTTTTGCTAAAGCATATAGTTAGGGCTGGACCAGGTGACCCTGAATCCTCCCTTAGTGATGCTGCAATAGACGTAGGCTGCCGGGGATTCCCATGATGCACTGGGTGTTTCTTCTTCACTCACTATGTATTAACAGACCTCTCTGCATTAAATCATATCTGTTATTAACCTCTGTCTCTCTTCCACAGCATGTCTTTATCCTGTCTTCCTTCTCTCACCCCAACCAATCACAGCAGATGGCCCCGCCCCTCCCTGAGCCTGGTTCTGCCGGAGGTTTCTTCCTGTTAAAAGGGAGTTTTTCCTTCCCACTGTCGCCAAAGTGCTGCTCATAGGGGGTCATATGATTGTTGGGTTCTCTCTGTATCTATGAAGCGCCTTGAGGCGACTTTGGTTGTGATTTGCTGTATAAATAAAACTCAAATGAACTGAATTGAACGAATATGATGCTGCACATTAAACAGTATACACAGTATTTAAAACGAGCTCAGTCTTAAACATATGAAGCACTAACATTAATTGATTGAACTTGGGGACACATTTTTCTGCAGGATAATTATTTTTATTCTTCACAAGAGTTTTTTGTGTACTGAGGTGATTCATAAATGGAAAGGTCTGTAAAATTCCTCCACTGCTTGCTATTTTCAGCTAATAATAAATGCTTGGTGAATGCTGTCACTGCATTCAGCTGGAACATCACGTCAGTAGTAACGGCACCCGGGTCACTAATATTAACATTAAATCAGTGTGCAACTAAACAGTGTCGGAGTTTGTGGTTTTCTCTGGTCTTTCCCAGTCAGAGCAGCAGGGACACGTTCAGCTCTCACTTCTAAAAATCTGTCCAACTTTATTAAAACCTCCAAAATGTGACAATCCAGAGTTGGGACCAGGAAGCAGAGCAGTCTGCTATCTTCTTTGTGTTGGACTACAGCGAGCAGATGCAGACTCACCCGGCCTACAAACGCTCCACAGCATACAATCTGTGTTCGATTCAATTTAATGGATATTTAATATATTTTATTTAATGGAGGTATATAAACCAAACTACAGATATTTCACAGCCAGGACATCACAGAGTGTTAATGAGTCGACTATAATCGAAGACTAATATGCTGCACAGTGTATAACATGAGTGGAGCAGCGCTGAGTCACTGCAGCAGGACAGCAGCAGTGAACCAGTCCTGATGTAAACAGGACTATATGATATTTATGCTGACACAACATAAATAACATGAGCCTTGATTATGTGTTTCTGTGTCGCTGCTGAAACGATTTCTGTCTCAGCACACTAAAGAGCTGACATCTCTTTACCAGCCTCTTCAAGGCTGGAAGAAACAGATTGCAAACCACCTTTACTGAGTTTATTCAAAAATAGAAACAGAGATGATGACAACCAGATGCCGAAGATCTAAAATTATTCTTCAAAGCTGCAGAGAGTGATGCACATGATGGGACATCGTGCTGAAAGTTCAGCTTAGAAGGAGCGAAGAAAAGAAATCAACTTAATCAAAGAACTGAGAGCCAGCAAATGTGACAGGAAGGAAAAGGATTCAGAGCACTGGGTTTATCCAGAAAACTCCCACAAACACGAGTGTCAACAGAACATCAGCACGAAATGAGCTGAAGGAGTACTAGGACCAAGTCAAGAGAAGAAATATTGTTGACCATTCATCAAGAAAGCCCAGCAGAGGATGTACTTCCTGAGGCAGCTGAAGAAATTTAACCTGCCAACACGGACGATGATGCAGTTCTACACTGCAATCATCGAGTCCATCCTCACCTCCTCCATCACCGTGTGGTACGCTGGAGCCACTATCAGGGACAAACAGAGACTGCAGCGTGTTGTGCGCTCTGCTGAGAAGGTGATTGGCTGCAGACTCCCATCTCTGCAGGACCTGTACACCTCCAGGACACTGCGGCGTGCAGCTCGGATCTCAGCTGACCCTTCTCACCCTGGACACAGTCTGTTTGACCTGCTCCCCTCAGGCAGGAGGCTCCGGTCCATCCGCACCAGAACCTCTCGCCATAAGAACAGTTTCTTCCCCTCTGCTGTTGGACACATGAACAATAACCATATGACTGTTCCCACCACTAACACATGACCCTACGCTGTGTCACTGCATCATTCCATGTTTGCACCTGATCACCACCTGCACTCATGTATATATCTTTCCACGTAGCACTTTTAATTCTTATCCCTACTTTTATTTTTTCATGTCTATTTAAGTGTTATTTATGACACCATGTTTGCACTGAAGCACTGCAGCAATTTCCTGATGTTGTAAACCTGCTCAACATTTGGCAATAAACCCCATTCTGATTCTGATTCTGATTCTGATTCTGATTTTCTGAGATTAAAGTCAGAAATGTGACCTAAAAGCTGAGTTTTTAAAAGCAGACCATCGTTGTTGTTCAGTGAGTCCTGTAATCTCCCCGTGTGGAACCAACACTCGTCGGTACATTTCAACCTTTGGAGACCGTTACTCTGAAATCTGGATTAGTGAAATATTCATCCATTCTTGTCTTAAACTGACAGGATGTTGCCATCATTTTAAAAATAGAAACGACTGGCATTTAGGTCCTGCATGTTAAACCCTTTTGTACGTGTGTGGAGGGGAACGTGAGAGAACAACACTGCACACCCCATCTGCTTTCAGCTGCTCTCTGCAGCAAGTAGCTGAACTGGTTTGAACCCAGTTCCTGGCACAACCCGAGGATGAGGCCAAGATTGAACTCTAGGTCTTCTGCTTGTTAGGCTCACCAGTGGGCCTACTGGTGTCACGCACAGTTATAGTTTAATATATATTTAATAGTGCTGACAATGGATAAGTTACCGTTTATAAACATTTTACTGTCATCTGAAAGTGTGCGCGTGCATGCACATATAAACTCTGTGCACGCACGCGCACGGATCGTCGTGTTCGGGCTAGGACGCTGATGGACACATAAACTTACTCAGGTCAGCTGCTGTAAAGACACACATGTGTTCTTCGATAGAAGACCACAGCTGGACATGAAAGTGACCGTTCACGGTCATTTACGTCCACGCACGACAGCAGAAAGCAGAAGAACAAGCGGCTACTTTACGTGTGAGCACAGCTGGCGATGCTGACGGGTTTGTGGTAGACCTCCAGGCAGATGGGGCAGGAGAACTGGCTCTCGATGCTCTCCGCCGGGGCTGCCAGCGAGCCCGGGCCGCCGTTGGGCTGCTGCTGCTGGCGGAGCTGGGAGCTCGCCGACACAAAGCTCCTAAACATCGCCATCACGGAGCCGCAGACGACCTGAAATCGTCGACAACTGCTCGGTGCCCGAAAGAGGAAGCGGTCCAAGCACTCAGACAGCTGGTAGCTAGTGCTTCATGTCGGGAGTTTGAACTAACGTTCTGCAAACATGATGGCTTTGGCTCGACATAAAATCCTCCACTGAGCACAGCATCACCTTTCCGCGGCTGACAGAGACACGCCGAACAAGTAAACAGTGGGAGTGTTGTTGGCGAGTGTGCGCACGATGCCGCGAGGATGAGCTGAACAAACAAAGTGAGCTACGCAGGCAACGCGCAGGCAACGCGCAGGCAACGCGCAGGCAACGCGCAGGCAACGCGCAGGCAACGCGCAGGCAACGCGCAGCGCCACAGAGCCGCTCGCTGTCAGCTGCCAGCGGACGCGCGCGAGGCAGCCACAACAAACAGCCTGTGCGCGCGATGCTTTCTGGAAGCTGGAGTTCTTCTTCTTTGGTGTTTATTGGCGGCTGCTCGGTGCATTACCTCCAACAACTGGTCTGGCATGTGGATCGAGCCTATCATACAAATGCGTTTGTCTAAGATGAAGAGATATTCCCTGATAACTTCCCGAGTTATTTCTAAATCAGTTCAATCTAGTTTCAGTTCGATTCTGTTTGGGTTTTGAATCCGTTGTCTTCCTTCTTCCCGACAGTGTCATTTAACGAGCTGCTTTGCCTCATCGCCACAGTGCTCACGCTTTCCAATGTTTGCCTGAAATGAAGAGTGTGCGCTTCGGCCCAGTGTGCCCAAATCTGAGACATGAAGTCATCCTCTCCTCCTCCCCCGTCTCCTCGTTTCTCCAGCTGTTTGATTTCGATGAATATATCTGGTCTACTTTCTGAATTGTAAACGTACTAATGATGAACTGGAATCTGAACAAATGACTGGTCTTAATGGTGTGGTGTCTTCAACCCAGTGGCTGATAAGGTTACAAGCATTTCTCCTGTGTGTAGCGAGTCCATCATTTATCAGTTTCCCTACTTTGATATTAAACTCGGGTCAAAGTAAAAGCTACTCTATACTCTTTACACTTATACACAAATATATTTCTGTACTGTACGTGGGGTTAAAGTAAACTCCTCATCCTCATTTCTCTTTTCCACCAAAGTGAAATCTACTGTAGCATCTGGAGGTATCCACAGCTGTATTAAAGGTTCTATTTAACTTGAGCTTGATTGCTTTTGGTTTCACAGTCCAACCAAAACTCCGACGTTTTCTTAGACCCAGCAGGGTTTAACCATTCCCCGAGTTGGATGCGCCTCCATCATCATCTAAGCTTTCCCGGTAATTTAATGTCAGTTGCTCTTTTCTAATATTAAGTACTATAGACATGCATACTATATACTTCTCAGAATAATTATTTCCTATCCTTACTTGTGTTTGCCTTCCAGAGAGAAAATCCTTGTCTACATTCACCCTGCGATACCATCTTCCTCATTTGGATGAATAAACCTTGTCTCCACATCGTACCCTGTGCTTTTTCAATTTCAAAAGTGTCTGTGTCATCTTTGCCTGGCGTGCAGATCTTTACCATTACTGCTTCTTTCTGTTTCCCAGATTTTATTGTAAATAATATTCTTTAGTCACAAAGTTGACTTCTCGTTAGATAACAAACCTGATCTTCGTGGTGACTCTGATTTGAGAGGTCCAATTATTGAATCATTACATCTGCGTGTTCTAATAACTTTCTATTCTCTGACGTTTCTCTTCCTGTTTTCCCTGCTACAGTAATATTATCTGAACTATGTATTTTAACAGATGTTTAGCCACCAGCTATGCTTTTCTGTCAAGCTCCAAGTGAGCGGCTCGTGTTTCCCCAGTTCCGCACCTGGCCGGGGTCCTGGCCACTCCCACTCACCTGTTCCTCATTCCGTGGCAATCAGTGTGGCCTACCTTAAAAGCTTATGAATCCGATTTAAACCATCTCTGGAGTCTTTCATTTAAAAAAAAACCCCCAAAACCCTAAAAGAATCGTGTTGTTGCCATTTATTTATAAAGGTAGTAATGTTATGTTACCAGGGGAACAACAGCCTGTGCAAGAAAGGTTACATTAAACTAACCATCAGCAGGGATAATGTGTTGGATCCGTTGGACCCAGCAATTGAGTTCATTATGTTTTGGTACTTTTGCATCATGGATTTTCCTTTATGTTTCTCTGGTACTTGGTGTTTCAGTTATCTTGGTGTTTTTCTATATTATGATTTATGATCTGATACTGTTGTGATTATGATTATCATTTAGTAGCCTTTGGTCAGTGTCAAGTCTGTCTCCGTCTAGTCTGTGTCTTAGTAAAGTGTGTTTTGTTTCCTGTTTTACTTCGAAGGTTCTTGTTCCTGTCTGATGTTAGTGTGTGCAGCTTTGTTCCCCCTGTCTCGTTAGCCCTGATCTCTCCCAGCTGTGTCTCCCTCCTGTTGCCGATTTCCCCCGTTACTACCCTGTGTATATAAGCCCTGTGTTTTCCCATGCTCGGTGTCGCGTCGTACCCTCAGATTATGCCTGTGTGTCCTTGGTCTCAGTGTTCCATCCTCACTTTATGTTTGTTTTCCTGCCAGCAATAAAGCTGAGGTTTTGATTTACATTTCTGCGTTCGAGTCCTGCACTTGGATCCTCCCCTCCGCCTACCCGCACACAGAGCCCTGACAGCTTTTATCCATTTGCCTCTTTGAGGCTATGATAGCGGTTTTTCTGCAATGATTGTGGGTTTCATTGATATGTGAGGGGACTTAAAAACAACACTTACAGTTGCAAAACATTGAAACCTCACTGAGAAAATCTAAAATACAAAGTCACCATATCAGATAGTTAATAGTTACAGTTTGGTACTAAGTTTTCTTGCTTATATAAAAGGATAAGCCCATTTCTACTTATATGGTTTATACTTAAAGACAGGGACAACAAAACAATGTCTGCGCCATAACGGCAACACTGAGGTCACGCTGTAACACGTTTACATCACCTGAGTGACGTATACACCTGTGTCTGCAAGAAAACACTTTCTCTCCACACCACTAGGTGGCGACATACCTCACGGTGTACCAAAGAAGCGTTTCCTACGTCATCAAACAGCGACACGATTCAGACACGAGCCTGTGGTGTGTTGACAGTGTGGAGGCAGCGGGTCAGTGTTGGTCTGCTGATGAAAAGAATCAGCTGCTGGAGCTCGCTTTGGCTGCTTGCTGTTTTCTCTCCTAACGGCCGCGATGTGTCAGGTGGAGGAAGATTACCGGGGGCAGATGGAGCGCGCCGCCGCGCCCAGGTAGGCTGAGGTCTACAGTGCTGACAATAAGTATGTTTATGGATGATAAAAAGGCCCAGCGATGAAACGCAGATAAGCTTAGCTGGGATTTGATCGATATCATAACCGCATTAGTTTGGATATCACATGGAGGGGAATAAGAGTCCAGCAGCTGCGATGTGTTTGTGAATGTTGTAGCCAATTCATCTGCATCGTTTAAAGTGCTAAGATCCGTAAAGCTTAGCTTTATCACAGGCATTCATGAGAACAGGTTTAAATAACGAGTCTGCGATAATGCAGAGACGGAGCTGCCGAGCTTCTCTCCGCTTTACTCATCAGTTCTGTCCGGAGCCGCTGGTTGAGTCCACGTCCAGATTCTTCTTTGCTGATCCTTAGTTATTATTACCTCTAAGCATCTCACTTCATTTTAAGCTGTACATTAGAAATACATGTACCGGAACGTCCCTTAATAGCCTCAAGTTCACACGCGATAATATTGAGATCAGAGGCAGCAGCTCGAGAGAACACTTGTCCCAGAGCAGCAGGCCATCTGAGCCCAAAATCCTCGCTTCCCCAACCCGTACGAAAAGGTGTAAAAACATTCGTGTAATAAGTCAGGACGCCGTAAAAACTCCACCTGAACTCTGCACCGAACACCGCCAGGTCACCGAACACCGCCAGGTCACCGAACACCGCCAGGTCACCGAACACCGCCCTTTACGTCACGGGCTGTGCAAACCGGCGTTTTGGGCCTAGCTGAGCTCGCTGTGGTGGCATATCAGGGACACTGGGGACACTCATCCACTTAATTTAAACTCCATTCAGAGGAGGAGTGCAGCCCACACCAGTTCATCCAGGTTCACTGTGTTTGCCTCTGTAGATGGAGGAGGTACGGTCTGTGTGCTAAGCCCACCGTGGATTTTTGATGTTTTCTAAACATAAAGCGAACAAAAGGCAGAATGCTGTGACTGAATCAGCAGACCTCCTGTTCATCTGGACGTAGAGAAACGTTTCATCATCACCAGGTGACTCCTTCAGTCAGTCTGCAGGTTTCCAACCTTAGACTGACTGAAACTAGCACCACTGATGAACAATGGGCTGGGAGGTCAGTTTATAATCATCCATCCGCTTCCGCTGGAGCCAATCCCAGCTGTCATAGGGCGAGAGGCGGGGTCCACCCTGGACAGGTCGCCAGTCTGTCGCAGGACTAACGCACAGGGACAGACAACCATTCACACGTAGTGGCAATTTGGATTATCCAATTAACCGATAATGGGAGGAAGGCGGAGTACCCGGAGGGAACCCACGCAAACACGGGGAGAACATGCAAACTCCACTCCACACTGTTGCTGTGCGGCAACAGTGCTAACCACCGTGCTGCCCAGTTTATAATCATCGATGTGGGAATGATCATGATCATTGGCCGTGAGTGCCGTTCACAGAGAGTTGGGGAATGGCCTCAGGGCCCTTTGTTCCTCAGTCATAACCAGACGGGTTGAAATGTGGGGATTTCTGGCTGAGATGACCTGCAGGATTCTCTGGAGGTTTATTTATTTACACGCTGAAACTCAGCATCACAGAAGCGGACCTCTCTCTCATATATGAAGCCACAGCAGAACTTACAAGCTTCAATGCAATTCCTGAAGTGATCCTGATATTAGGAAAATAGTAAAGACGCTGTGTTTACTGAAAATAGAATAAACGCAGCATATCAATTATTGAAACTGAGAAATGGTTTCAGTAAACACTTCACTTCAACAACACTAAATATGCTTAAAAATGCTTATCGTATAAATGAAAAACAGCCTTAGTCATGCATCACTATTTGCTACAACTTAAGTCTTTGGAACTCTGCTGGAGGAACCACAGGGAACCACAGGGAACCACAGGGAACACAATCCCAGATCGCCTCACTCTCATCATCAGTGTCATTCCTGCTTTAACATGGCTGCTCTTCTCCTGTTTGTTAGTGTTTCAAAGAAATGTGTCAAATGCAAAGAGGCGCCTGCAGCTTTGGTCATCAGAGCAGGAGATGCGTACTGCAGGTAAGCTG